TTGTCGTCCCCTTAAAAATTTTGCGACATATTAATATTTATTTATTTAAAAATATTAAATAAAAAATTTGACCTCTGAACCATAAGTTGTATAACATTATTTCATAAAAAGTAAAATTGGAAAATTTTGTGGTATAAGTGAGATTAGATTGAAGTTGAAGATACCTACTTAAGATTATTATACATAAAAATGTTAATTCAAAAATAAAAAATCGGTATACAAATTAATAAATATTTATTTTTAACATAAAATAAAATATAAAAAAAGAAAATATTTCCTTATAAAATATTTCTTCATAAAAGAAAAAACCAAATAGTTCTTCATAAAAAAACATTTTTCATTGTATTTAAGTTGGATAGAAGATTTTATGTAAAAGCCGGATAATTTAGATACCTATAGTAATAGTATATTAAAGTACAAGTTGCAGAAGGCCACATATTCTCGCACGAATTCGAAATTTGGCCTCGAGCGACGAAGGAGCGAGTGGACGAACGAATGAGTGCGAGAATAGCCTTCTGCAACGTGTGATTTATACTATTTTCTCGATTTTAACTTTTATTTAGGTTTTTTTAATTGTTTTGTGGTCGTTGTTAGTTAGGGGATTTTTCTCGCAAAATGTCAGTTGGCAACACAAAATGACAATATTTGTTATCCTGCACAAGTACAACCTGAACTGCACTTTTACACATTAAACTTAAAATTTTGCATTAAAATGCATTGTTGGAGCAAACTTTATATTACAAAACAATAATAAAGGCTTCATTTTCAATAAAAGTAATGAATTTGAGGTTATTAATCAGTTTGACATTTTGGGGGTACCAATAATTAAAAACTAAATGTTACCAAAAATCGTTTAAGAATGAGCTTCATTCTTCAACGATTTTGCGTGCGAGAATATGACATTCTTACATAAAAATCGAGAAAAGTATTTTTGTTATCAAATATTGTTTTAATTTGACAAATAACTATAAAAAAATATTTTGGGTTGTGTTTTTTACTTAGTATTTAATACTAAGTATATGTACCTTTATACGTAGATTATGGCATATTTTACTATTATATAGGTACCTAACTGAACTGAATATGCTTAACAGAATGTTCCAGGAATATTCCTAAATGAACTTTCTATAGCAATTACTTTCTCAACATTCTAAGCATATGTTTAGAGTGGATTAATTTTTACCACTAAACTTTGCACCTTTTAAGAACCTGCCTATAGGCCAGTAAGAATAATCTTAGGATTATGCTATATTTCTTTTAAGCATGTTCTTTAGAAGAAATATAGCATGATCCTAAGAATATTCTCACTGGAAGGTTTAAAAAACATTCTTAGAACATGACTAGAAGAAATATAGCATGATCCTAAGAATATTCTCACTGGAAGGTTTAAAAAACATTCTTAGAACATGACTAGAAGAAATATAGCATGATCCTAAGAATATTCCCACTGGAAGGTTTAAAAAACATTCTTAGAATAAACTGTGCTATCAGGGTCAACGTTTGATAACGTTTATATGTACAATTGGCGTCCCCGAAATGTGAACGGCAAAATTTAATCGTGTAATATGGGTTTTGTATCAGTGTCGTCGGTAGTTGTCAAATTTGATAATAGTTGTCAATTGCAATATTAAAAATGCCACCCCACTTAACTAGGGCTCAAAGGTCCAGGGCAATAGCCAAATTAGAAGAAAATTGGTCTTTAAGTGAAGTGGCTGCAGAATTAAATGTCAGTAAAAGCAAGCAAACAAAGATTGAGAAGACCTATCAGGCAAGGTGTAGGTAAAATCTCCAACGAAAATGAAGACAATGCTCTTGTCGCACACATTAGGCAAAATCCTTTCAATACTGCAGTTAAGGCCCGAGAAGATATACAATTTCCAGGATGTCTTTGAACAGCTCAAAAAAGATTGAAACAAGCTGGCTTAAAAACCTGTGCTGCTGCTCTTTTTTTTTAACTGATGAAAATAAGCGCAGGAGAGTCCAGTTTGCCAATAATTATCTAAATTATGGAGAGGAATTTTGGAATAATGTTATATTTTCCAATCTTGCAATAATGGAAGGCTGCGTGTATATCGTCCAAGAGACGCAAGATTTGAGGAGAACTACATATTAAAAACAACTACATGTTCCACATGTGCAGACAGTGTAAGGTTCTTTATAATCTTGATATATTTCGCAAATCTTTTTATTAACTTAATATTTATATTTTGTATAATACAATAAATATTACTATACGTAAATCAGTGATTTAAAATCACATCCATACAACCATATTAAAAATTACGATCTACTAATATTTTTACAGTAATATTTACCAAAAATGTATACTAAAAAAATAATATATTGTGTTAAATATTTAACATTTCAATTTTACTGACGAATATTTAAAAGTATAACCCTCAAAATTTAATAAAGTAGATTTTACTTTTTTTACTATATGAAGCTTACTTATCTCCGTTCAGGAGGGAAAGTGTGATTTTGGACCAAATGGTAAATATCGGGACTGTATCAGAGCTGTGAAATACATATTCAATATTTATATGCCAAACGGCGTTGCCAAATTTAGGGTTTGAAGACGTAGTTTAACTATGCCAAATATATACAGCTAGCTGAGCCCGACTGAGGCGCCCTCGAACTGGCTGAACCGTGAACTAAATCTGTATATTTCATCATGTTTCACCGCCTTTTCAAGCCCACCTAAAAATTTACCCCCTGCACCCACCAACCCCCCTGATTACCATTACTATGATTAACTTTTTCAGTCCCGAAGCCGGGTCTGAAAACGTCAATTTTGGTCTGTATAGGCGGCGAAGTATGACGATTTGGGTCTGTATGTGCGGTCAAACAAATCTATATATATATATATATATATATATATAGGAAGTATATATAGTATATATACTTTTGATTATGTACTAAATAAGTCACACGTTAAACCCCATTGCGAACCTATATGATGTGCCCTTTTGCTATGCGCAGTGTGCAAAGTTGAGCGTTGCTTTCAAGATCACTTTTTTGTTTTTTTTATTATAGCCCAATTTTAAAAGTATAACCGAATGGACGATTTTTTGAGGTACTAGACTTTTTTCAAAAGATATTGCTTTTCAATGTACGGTCTTTTTTCAAAACTTTAATTTGGGGGTGTACACTTGAAGTGAAATGCCCCTCGACAAAATGTCGCAAACTCGATAATTTTAATGTACAGAATTATTAAATGCTTAAAAAACTACACGGCGAAGAAAGATTATTAACTGCCTCGCACAGATCTGCATCCTCGGCTAAGGCGGCCTTAGTAAGGCTTTGGCAGCACTTAGCTTGGCTTTAAATAAGCGCTTTCTCCGCCTGTTAGATAATGTACTACCTACCTATTATTAATAAATAATTTTAATAAAAAACATAAACTAGCTGAATGCTCGGGGCTTCGCTCCCGTGGTTATAACCATATAAGAAAAAGTAAGGGGTTATCTATGAGCTGACCTATTAGTCCTTCAAAGGATATCGTTGACTTTTGGGACACCCTGTATACATATAAATGAAATTAAAGTGTTTAAAAAGTAAAAAAAAGTAGCCCATAATTTCTATCGTTTGACCTGGTAGGTACTTAAAGTCCCGTCAAAATCGATTCGTCGTTTAAGAGATTAGCCCTTTTAATTCATTTATACGTATAGTTGTATAGTTGTATACCCTCAGGAAAGGGGTTTAACACAATATTATTAATCCTCTTTGCGTCCTTGTAAACAGCTTGGTCCTAGGGGTTTAATTTATATACTTATGTTATTAGTTCTTTTTAAAAATTTCTTGTCGTATATAGTCTAGTTTCTTTTTATTCCTCTAAAACCACCCCTGAAACGCAAGGGTTAAATACCAAATTTTTTAATGAGGATTTGGAAAATTTTGGTAAAAATATAACTGCACGCGAGACATTTTCTCACGTAATGGTTTAAACGATCGCCAATAAAGATCGGTGACCCGCCAAACATCGCACAATAATTTAGGGTCGCTTTACAACAAAACAGCAGGCGGAAAAAAATTGAATATGAAAATGAACGACAACAACATTAATTACTGATTAAAATAATGTTTAACACGACAGGAAAGACATCCGCACGTCTTCTTTATTCGGCCCATTGCTAATCGCCAGACCTCAGCGACAGAGCGTGTATTACTGGTTGCTGCCCTACTAAAGATTATTTAATTTTCATCTTTAAATCTTATTTGGTCGTTGATTATACTTTTAAATCGTAAAATGCTCCATTTTATCGCGCAATGTTTATTTTGGCGTGTGATGTCCTATTCAGGAGTGCTTTTCTCTTACTTTTTTTGGCGTACAATACTCTATTTTGGAGTGCAAAAATATATTTTGTATTTAAATTGATTTATGTATCGTAAAAAAATTATTTTGTCGTCGAAATGACCAAATTTCTCCTTCATTTAATCAAATTTCTAGATACTTAGTATACTATGTCTATAGACATTTTACAATATATACATGCAATATACGACATTGAACCCCTACGACAAAGCTGTTTACATGGGCGCAAAGAGGATAAATAAAATTGTGTTCAACCCTCTGGAGTGCTCATAAAATATTTTCTTTGCTTTCACTGTGAGAAACTGCTTCTATATCGGATTTAGACAGCCCTTTTTTAAGGAAAACATTTAGGTTTACACATAAAAATTTAACATACTCACCAGCGCGCCGGTAATACAGATTCTCAAGAATCGCTACTCTATTTTTTTATGGATGTCCCTATATACAAATATTTAATTTTTTTAAATAATAATGAGTATATTTCGTTGAAAAAGTTGAATATGCAATTAGTTTAGAAACTTGTCTAGACACTCATTTAATTAAGCTCGCTCGTGCCTAAATTCAACTCGTGAAATCTTAAAATCACGTTTATCCAACTTGATACATAATATACTAATAAATGTCGTTTTAATTAGAAGAAAACATAATTTACATACATAGAAATTTATTACAAATATGTACAATTAAATTACAACCAGCCTTTCTTAGCAAGTAGTTTAACTATACTGTATATTTTTTCTTTTTGTTCTTTGGACGCTTCCACTGGAGGAGCAGTTTCAGGATTAAACTCAGTCATATCCATCGCTTTGGATTTGTCCATAAAAATAGGAAATAGCATGGTTAGTGTATGCTGTAGTTGGCGTGGATATGCATTCTTAATCTCTTGTTCAAAGGCTTCTTCTGAGAAAGGTTCCGTGTTCACGTCGAGCTTTTTCAGGGTAACTAAAAAGTGCTCTTGGTAAAATTCCACTAGATAATCGAATTTTTCCATGAGAATATCGTTTTCTATACTGGTCAATAGAAGGAAGAGCACATCGTCGGCTGGAGATAGGAAACGAGTGACTTGAAAGTCAACAAATTTATTTTCGATAAATTTTACGTTTTCTTCTTTTAACATTAAGTTGTTTACCCAGAGATCCTGATGCACTATGGTGGCGAATGGTTCTTTGGCTGACTGATCTAGTTTTTTTTCAATTATGTCGAGAAAAGCTGGTAAATATTTTTTTAATTCATGATTCTCGCTGATAGCTTCCTTGGATACTCTAATAGTGTCCTCCAAAAACTTATCATCCTCTCCTCCAGCGGTTTCCCCAAAAATCATCAGGTTTAAGAATGGTTTTACTTTTATATTAAAGTCATCGGGACACTGCAACTTTAATGCGATACCGGTGGCATGGAAGTTTGCTAAATCTTGCAAAATTAGCTTTATGGTTTCAAAATTAAAACCTTTCATTCTATCGGCGCATTTAAATCCTTTAACTGCAATATTTTCCAGCAATAAAACAGCATTTGAATCTACTACATCAGTATTTTGTAGGTTTAATCTGTCACCTAATAATTTAGCATGATATTGCAGCGGTTTCATTCCATGTTTCTTTTGCAATTCTTGCATCAAAGGGAATATAGTTTTATAAAACTCGATTTCAGCCTTAAATGTTACTTTCGTTTGAAAAATTTGCTGCATGAATTCGTTTTGTGGTGGAGTTTTTGCAACTGCATAAATAATCTCCTCTTTATCAAATTTCTTATTCTTGCACTTGATTTCAACACTTAACATCACACTTCCATAATTTTCTCCTGGCGCTGTTAAACTCTTGGCACTGTAGCTAACGAATTCAAGGTCTTCGTCTAGGCGACCTCTGAGCAGATCAGCAAAATTTTCGATTTTGTACATATTGGACACTAATTTAAGTTTAGTACGTAACTAATATGCGTTTTAATCAGTGTATGATAAAATAATTTAATAAATAATAATAAATTGCATATGTTATTTACACACAGATAACTAATGTTAAGAAGTTTTAAACATAAGTGGCACACATACTTAGTTATTAAATACTGCACGGTTCTAAAAAATATATTTTTGACTGGATAGATAAATACCTATATTTTGAGAGGGTAAGAACATGAAAAAAATTAATTATACACTACTATAAAAACATACTGGTAATTTCCAAAAAATACCCGGCCAAAGTTTTGTATTTTCTTAAATATAAAATTAAATGTATAATTTAAATGGATAATACATGTATACTCTTGCAATAGGCCGCATGTATACATGTGTGTATTTTGAATAACATTTAAATTTTTCTCAGATAAACATAGTAAAAAATATCACCAATAGTAGGTACATCAATATTATCAATTCTAAGCAACTACTATCAAAAATTGTATGTTTGTGTAAATACCATTACGTATTGTAATTTACAATAAATAAACCCTAACATTAAAAATATTTAACTAAATTTAAGAAAAATAGTTTTTGATTTATATAATAGGATAGAATTTGTTTTTTCCAGATTCCAAATCTAAAAAAACTATACAAAATATTCTATATTTTATATTATTGTGAAACATAAAAATAAAACATTTTCCAAAATTTGTATTTATTAATTCCTCAATAAATATCTCTTTTTACTACCGTGCGCTACTAATTTTATATGACCTTCACGTTTGTTATTTAAAATTTACAATATCATTTTGAATTAAATGGGTGCATAATTTATATACAGGATGATATATTATTTGGGGGCATATCTTTATAAATATTTACTCATTAAATATAACAAAAAAACTCTATAAATAAATGTATTTCCTTTATTATTTTTAGACATATATTTTAGGATCAAAGATTATTATCATTGTTAAAATATTAAATTAATATTCTATTTTATAAAAATTGTTATTCCTGAAGTTATTTTAATTATGTTACAAAATTATCTTTAATGTTTAAACCAACTAAAATCTAAAAATAAAATACTAATTTTAGAAATAGAAAAACACTTTTTATAAGTAAAATAATTATTAATTATAATTATTATAGTATATTATGTATCAAGTTTGATAAACGCCATTTTATACACGAATTTAATTTAGGCACGAGCGCTTAAGTTAATGAGTGTAAAGAAAAGTTTATAAACGAGGTGCATACTATACTTTTTCTACGACAAATACTTATTATTATCTTAAAATGATTTAAATCAAAAATTTGTAATACAAATTTTGTATAGAGCGCCATCTATGAAACAACAGGGGAAACTGTCAAATGTCACATTTTTACATTTTATAAACACAATTATAAAGGTATTAATCGAAATGTATCTTGAAAATTGACAGTTTTTCACATTGAAAGTAAAGGAAATATTTTATGAGGACTTTACAGTAGAGTTCGTGCCCGAATTTAAGTTATAGTTTACTGCCGGCGAAATTAAAAGGTCAGTACAATGTTCATATAAACTTTTCAAATATTGGCGTTGAGAAACTATTTAATATTTTTGTATTTTAACGATTGTATGACATTTTACAACTGTCAACTAACTTAAAACTAACTTCAGCCCGTGACTAAAAACCTGTTGCTAACTTCAGCCCGTGAGTAAAGCGCCGTAAAGCCACAACTTGTCAATGTGTATTTAAAAGGTCACTTAGTGTCATGGAAACATGTACGATAAAGGGCGTTTTAAAGGTGGGAGTAGAAAAAATAAATTATATATACCTATATATAAAACAAATGATTTAAGGTAAATTGTTTTTATTATATGTACATAATGTGGGTACATAGTACATTATACATACATCACGCACAATATAAAATCAAACCAAGTTGCGCTTACGTCATCAAGGTTTGATGACGTTTATATGTACACCATTGTCAGTAAATAACGCGTAATATGTGACCACATATTTATTTCGTTATAGTTGGTTGCCTTTAATTTTTTAATGTTTTTACATTTTTCTATTGTAGTTTATTGTGTGGCATTAAATTTATCTTTTAGTGCGACAATAATTTATTAGTTCAAGGATTTAGATAAGGCAGTTTAAGGTGTATTAAATTTGTTCATAAATTTTATTTAACAGGGTAATGTGGGTTGCATATATTATGTAAGTGTTTAATTAATTAAATTCCGAGCATTTCTTTACAAACTTACCTAATCTATTTTTAGAATCATTGTTCTATTTTGTTATTAGTATTGCCAAAAAATAGTGTTTTTTTATGAAATATTTTTTTCTTTCTTAGGGCTTTTTCCACTCTTTACATTTTTTGAGTAATTCATTTTTACTTTTTCGTTTATGCAACGAACGCATTTTATGCTATTGGGTTGTTCCGAAAAGGAATTTACTCGGAATCAAAAGTTCTATAAAAATGCTTTATGGTCCATAACTGTAATCTGCACCTGCAGGATGGTACGGGTCACTAAATTTGATTTTAGTAAAAAAATCTCATATTTTTGAAGATATTTCAAAAGTGACTGGATTCAACAAAAAAATGCAAAGGACAAACTTACATTGACATTTTATATAATCATATGTGTTCCTTTTTAGGTTACAATAATATTTATTGAAATAAAATAAATAAAAAACAACGTTAAAATATTAAATTTATAAAAGTCAATAGTACAAATTGCAAAATTGCTTTTTGAGGTAAGAACCTTTAATGATTGATGAAACGAGCTGACAATTTGGCCATTACAGAGAAAGCGATAAAGTCGTTTTCATCACTACTTACTTTATGATGAGAGCACAATTTTATTTGATTTTTACATTATTTAAATATGATTGGTAGAGACCGGATTTCAGGAAAATTTACTATCTTTACTTTTTGTTTAATAATAGTGCAGCTAGTGATGGGCGTTCCGGGTCACTCTTTTGAACCGGATCACTGGATCTGGATCACATAAGTGAACCGGTTCAGCGAACCGGTTCAACAGAACCGTTTGAATCTCAGATTAATTAAAAATAACACTTAATGAAATCATTCGGATCACATAAACTTTATGTTTATGTTAAAAATGTTTATCACTTTAATATTTAGGAGCCTTTATTATATATATATATATATATATATATATATATATATATATATATATATTGCATTAAATTAAAATTTTATAAAGCAATAAAAACTCTATTATTTTAATTTTACATGAAAAGTTACACAATTTAATTTAATTAATATTAAAAATATATTTTAATCGACATTGACATAAGGGAAATCATCTCATATTTCTGTGAGTTTGTAAAAAATTACCAAAAGTATAAATTTGCCTAACGTAGTAACGCGACACAGAACACAGAACGCAAGAATTCGGTCCCGAACGATCCGACCGGCATAGGCACTAGCGAGCTGCATGATACAACAGTCATGATCGAGCCGCGCCTAGAGAATCGAGATGTTTTGGTTAGATCTGGATCACAGAAAACAAAACGTACTGCGAGCGCGAGTCGTTCTTAGCTCCAGGGAGCCGGTTCAGATCTCTCGTGACCAGCCGCTCTCGGCTCGAGCGGCTCGCCATGCGCGGCCTGTGCAAAGCACTGCAGCAGCATAGCGAGTGGTAAAGCAGTGAATCGGAGCTTAGAACGGCTTGCGCGGGACCGCTAGCCAAACACAGTTCGGACCCGTGATCCGGTTCGTTTAATTTTCGTGAACCGGTTCACGTAGATCACTTATAAGACCCGGTTCACTGAGCCGGTTCAGATCTGACCGACACATCTCTAAGTGCAGCAGTTCGGTTTGTTCAACCACCTGCAAAAGATGCACTTTAACCTGGCTTATTTTTCATTTTTTTAAGTATTGAAACATTTCGGTTTTTTTTTTTCAAAGTTAAACTGCACTTACAAAGTTTTGGTCGTGTGATTCGCCAATAGTTGCCAAAAATTATAATTGTTATTGTAAATGGATTTCTAATGTTTCGAAGAACTGGACTTCTATAATCTAGGAGTGGGACAGACCGACCATTTAAAAATCAGAGAAGTGGTGGCAGGCAACCCACATTACTTTAATTTATATATTTTAATAAATAATTATCCAAATATATTATATTATTAATTAAAATGTGTAATTTAAAGTTTAAAGCTGATATAGCAAATCATATGACTTGTTGACAAATAGTAAAGTATATTAATAAACGAAAATTAAAGATGTTTTAAAAATTTCACTATAAAAAACAATATTTTGATATTTTTATTTTTAATATTCTTACATATGTATTAGTATTAAATATACATATTAAAATACATGAACTTAAAAAAGTAAAAAACACGATACAATAGTATGGTAGTTATTCATAGGTTATTCATAGGACTTTTTTAATAATGAACTTAATGCAATTTTATTTATGATCTAGTCATTTTTTATTTGATCCAATACCGATTTTTCAATGTTCATTAACATAAATGCTTCCAATAAGTCATCGGCTAATCTATTTCTTAGCTGATTTTTTATACGTTTTAGGACTAAAAATGATCTTTCGCAAGTTACTTGAAATATTGGTAAGCTAGTGCCAACATCAAATAAGCTTCTTGATATATGTTATATTTTAACATAACTATGTAACAACATATTACACAATTTTGGCATATTATTCTTTTAAGTTATTTAATGGATTTGTTTCATCTTTTCTATTTAGAAGTTTGTTTAGGCTTAGTTTAAATTCATCCCAGTTTTTAATGAAACTTAAAAGTTCTTCATAAAATCTACCCAAAGTTGCTATTTCATATATTTTTTTAAATTTTTGGCAATATATACTGCATTACTCTGCATAAGTATCCATTATTAAAAATAGGGACACCATAGACTCAGAAGCGACGCCACGTCGAGAAGAACATTGTACGTTTCAACTTGAATCTTATCATTAAGTGCTTGAGGTTGTTCGTCATCAGCTTTCTGGTCCAAAATTTTTTTTTTTAGTTTTGTGACGAATTTCAGTAAAATCCTCTTCTATCTCAATTTGTTGCAAGTCTTGTTTTAAAAGTTCAGAGGTTGCCCAGGATAAAAAATCATTTGTAGCTTTTTTTACTTCAGTCATATTTCTCTGCATGGACTTCATTCCTTGAATAGATTTTTTTACAATAAAATTGCAAATCAGAAGGTTTGTTTTGTTTGGAAATAACACGATAAAGAACCCGTAACTAAGAATATTTTTAAACAATTTTGACTTAAAAGAATATTTTCATATTTTACTAAGCTATCTAAAAGGTTTTTGGCTGCTCCACGGGTATTACCGTTGAGATTTGGATTGTTTTATATAATAAATAGAGACTAAAGAACATCGATGTAAAGACATTCTTTGGTATCAAAGAAATTGACAAAAACTTTGTTTAGTCTCGCCTATCCTTTGCAGTGATTGTTTCTGTGATGCTTTAGATATTTCACGCCAAAATAGTCAATTTGGCGACGGCTGGGTGCTACCAACTCTTCGCCAATCTGATGTACCATGGTGGTAACTATACATTTTCAACTTCAAATTGTAACTAATCAATTTTACTTTGGAATGTAACAATTTCAAATTGGGAATAATCAACGATTTTTAAATGCTTAATAATTAGTCATTGTAATTTCATCATTTAAACATATAGTTATCATCAAGGTTATCGATATATTTAGGTAATCTGTAATTTATAATGTTAAAATAATTAAAATTATGAATTCTTTGTACTAATATTAATGTTAATTTTTACAAAATAATTAAATATGATTAAATTTAAATTTAATAATTAACGCTAAAACAGTATTTGTTTGCACGCAAACACTGTTTAAATCCGATATATATCGGATTTAAACGGTCCATTTTAATTTTTAAATAATAATAAATATTTGTCGTACAAAAACAATAGTAAGCAACTCGTTTATAAACTTTTCTAGACACTCATTTAATTAAGCGCTCGTTCGAAAGCTCGCTTGTTTATATGAATTAAATTCGTAACTAAAATGGCCTTTATCAAAATTGATTTTTAATATACTATTAAATATTGTTTTAATCATTAAAAACACATAATTTAAATGCATAGAAATTTATTACATAAATTATAATTATATCCAGCCTTTCTTAGCAAGTAGTTTAACTACATTGTATAATTTTACTTTTTGTGCATTGGACGCTTCCATTGGTGGAGCAGTTTCAGGATCGAACTCCGCCGCTTTGGATTTGTCCATAAAAATAAGATATAGCATGCATACTGTATGATATAGTTGGCGTGGATATGCATTCTTAATTTCTTGTTCAAAGGCTTCTTCTGAGAAAGGTTTCGTGTTCACGTCGAGCTTTTTAAGGGCAGCTAAAAAGTGCTCGTAGTAAAATTGAACTAGATAATCGAATTTTTCTATGAGAATATCATTTTCTATACTGGTTAGAAGAATGAAGAGCACATCGTCGGCTGGAGATAGGAAACGAGTGACTTGGAAGTCAACAAATTTATTTTCGATGAATTTTCCGTTTTCTTCTTTTAACATTAAGTTATTCACCCAGAGATCATGATGGACTATGGTGGCGAATGGTTCATTGGCTGACTGATCTAATTTTTTTTCGATTATGTCGAGAAAAGCAGGTAAATATTTTTTTAATTCATGGTTCTCGCTTATAGCTTCCTTGGATACTCTAATTTTGTCCTCCCAAAACTTAGCATTCTCTCCTCCAGCGGTTTTCCCAAAAATCTTTAGGTTTAAGAATGGTTTTACTCTTATATTGAAGTCATCGGGACACTGCAACTTTAATGCGATACCGGTGGCATGGAAGTTTGCTAAATCTTTCAAAATTAGCTTTATGGTTTCAAAATCAAAACCTTTCATTCTATCGGCGCATTTAAATCCTTTAACTGCAATATTTTCCAGCAATAAAACAGCATTTGAATCTACTACATCAGTGTTTTGTAGGTTTAATCTTTCGCCTAACAATTTAGCATGATATTGCAGCGGTTTCATTCCATGTTTCTTTTGCAATTCTTGCATCAAAGGGAATATCGTTTTATAAAACTCGATTTCAGCCTTAAATGTTACTTTCGTTTGAAACATTTGCTGCATGAATTCGTTTTGTGGTGGAGTTTTTGCAACTGCATATATGATCTCCTCTTTATCAAATTTCTTATTCTTGCACTTGATTTCAACACTTAACATTACACTTCCATAATTTTCTCCTGGCCCTGTTAAACTCTTGGCACTGTAGCTAACGAATTCAAGGTCTTCGTCTAGGCGACCTCTGAGCAAATCAGCAAAATTTTCGATTTTGTACATATTGGACACTAATTTAGGTTTAGTACGTAACTAAAATGCGTTTTAATCAGTGTATGATAAAATAATTTAGTTGTGATGTTATTTATGTATACACAGCTGTGTATCTAGATAACTAATGTTAAGAAGTTTTAAACAGAAGTGCCACAGATACTTAGTTATTAAATACTGCACGGTTCTAAAAAATATATTTTTGACTGGATAGATAAATACCTATATTTTGAGAGGGTAAGAACATGAAAAAAATTAATTATACATTACTATAAAAACATACTGGTAATTTTCAAAAAATACCCGGTCCATTGGTTTGTATTTTCTTAAATTTAAAATTAAATGTATATATACGTATACGTATAAATGGATAATACATGTATACTCTTAAGTGCAATAGGCCGCAAAGATGTATACATGTGTGTATTTTGAATAACATTTTTTCTTTAGCATCTCAATGAGAGCAACAAGAAAAAATGTTTTTGAAATAAATAATAGGATAGAATATGTTTTTTCCAGATTCCAAATCTAAAAAAACAATACAAAATATTCAGATATTGGAAAGAGCCCCTCGCCGACGGTGGACTAGTGGTCAGTGCTGCTGACTACAAACCGGGAGGTCGTGGGTTCGAGTCCCACATTGGTATGGTTGTTTATTTTTGTTTGTCCTATTGTGTATTAGTCATTCGGAGGGTACTTTAAGGCCGCGGTCCCGCACAAGCCATTCAGTTGGCTTCTTAGGAAGTAAGGGTGGAACTAAAAAAGCACTAAAAAAAATTGTGAAACAAAAAATAAAACAAGTTTCCAAAATTTGTATTTATTAATTCCTCAATAAATATCTCTTTTTACTACCGTGGGCTACTAATTTTATATGACCTTCACGTTTGTTATTTAAAATTTACAATATGATTTTGAATTAAATGGGTGCCAAATTTATATACAAAGATTATCATCAAGTTAAAATATTAATTATATAAGAAACAAAAAATATTAAATTTTTATTCTATTTTATAAAAATTGTTATTCCTGAAGTTATTTATGTTACACATGTATCTTTAATGTTTAAACCAACTAAAATCTAAAAATAAAATACTAATTTTAGATGTTGTGTTAAACAAATAGAAAAACACTTTTTAAAAGTAAAATAATTATTAAATAAATTATATATACCTATATATAAAACAAATTAATTAAGGTAAAATAGAAAATTTATAAAAAAAATTGACTTGTTTTTATTATATGTACATAATGTGGGTACATAGTACATTAAACATACATCACGCACAATATAAAATCAAACCAAGTTGCGCTTACGTCATCAACGTTTGATGACGTTTATATGTACACCATTGTCAGTAAATAACGCGTAATATGTGACCCCATATTTATTTCTTTATAGTTGGTTGCCTTTAATTTTTTTAATGTTTTTACATTTTGCTATTGTAGTTTATTGTGTGGCATTAAATTTATCTTTTAATGCGACAATAATTTATTAGTTCAGGGATTTAGATAAGGGAGTTTAAGGTGTATTAAAATTCATAAATTTTATTTAACAGGGTAATGTGGGTTGCATATATGTTGTTGTTGTGTTTAAATAATTAAATTCCGAGCATTTCTTTACAAATTTACCTTATCTATTTTTAGAATCATTGTTCTAATTTTTTATTAGTATTGCCAAAAAAGATCTGTAAGTCTAAATAGATTTTTTTTTATTAAATATTTTTTTTTCATAGGGCTTTTTCCACTTTACATTTTTTGAGTAATTCATACATTTTATATAATCATGATACCTATGTGCCTTTTTAGGTTACAATAATAATTATCGAAATCTATAAATAAAAAACAACGCTTAGTGAAAATTAAATTTATAAAAGTCAATAGTACAAATTGAAAAATTGCTTTTTAAGGTTATAACCTTTAATAATTGATGAAACGATCTGTCGTTTTCATCACTACTTAATTTATGACGTGAGCACAATTTTATTTGATTCCTTATTATTTAAATATGATTGATAGAGGCCGGATTTCAGGGAAATTGACTATCTTTACTTTCCGTTTAATAATAGTGCAGCAGTTAGGTTTGCCAGATATCCTTTATGATTGTTCAACCACCCGCAAAAGATGGACTTTATCCTGGCTTATTTTTCATTTTTTTAAGTATTGAAACATATCGGTTTTTTTTCAAAATTATAATTGGTATTGTAAATGGATTTCTAATGTTTCGAAGAACTGGACTTCTATAATCTAGGAGTGGGATAGACCGACCATTTAAAAATCAGAGAAGTGGTGGTAGGCAACCCACATTACTTTAATTTATATATTTTAATAAATAATTATCCAAATATATTATATTATTAATTAAAATGTGTAATTTAAAGTTTAAAGCTGATATTGGAAATCATATGACTTGTTGGCAAATAGTAAAGTATATTAATACACGAAAATTAAAGATATGTTTTAAAAATTTCACTATAAAAAAACAATATTTTGATATTTTTATTTTTAATATTCTTACATATTAAAATAGATAGAACTTAAAACAGAAAAAACACGATACAAAATTATAATATACAATAGTATGGTAGTTATTCATAGGTTAACGACTTTTTTAATAATGAACTTAATGCAATTTTATTTATGATCTAGTCATTTTTTATTTGATCCAATACCGATTTTTCAATGTTCATTAACATAAATGCCTCCAATAAGTCATCGGCTAATCTATTTCTTAGCTGTTTTTTTATACGTTTTAGGACTAAAAATGATCTTTCGCAAGTTACTTGAGATATTGGTATTGCAAGAAGATACTGGTAAGATAGTGCCAACATCAAATAAGCTTCTTGATATATGTTATATTTTTACATAACTATGTAACAATATATTACACAATTTTGGCAATGAGTTTCAGTAATATCATTTTTTCCCATCTAATTCTTTTAAGTTATTTAATGGATTTGCTTAGTTTAAATTGATCCCAGTTGTTAATGAAACTTAAAAGTTCGTCATATAATCTACCCAAAATTCCTATTTTATAATTTTTTTAGTTTTTGGAAATATATACTGCATTACTCTGCATAAGTCTCCATTTTTTTTAAATCGGGACACCATAGACTCAGAAGCGACGCTACGTCTAGAAGAACATTGTACGTTTCAACTCAAATTTTATCTTTAAGTGTTTGAGGTTGTTCGTCATAGGCTTTCTCGTCCAAAAACTTTTTTTTAGTTCTGTGACGATTTTCAGCAAAATCCTCTTCCATCTCAATTTGTTGCAAGTCTTGTTTTAAAAGTTCAGAGGTTGCCCAGGATAAAAAATCATTTGTAGCTGTTTCTACTTCAGTCATATTTCTCTGCATGGACTTGATTACTTAAATAGATTTTTTTAACATAAAATTGCAAATCAGAAGGTTTGTTTTGTTTGGAAATAACACGATAAAGGACCCGTAACTAAAAATATTTTTAAAAAATTTTGACCTAAAAGAATATTTTCATATTTTACTAAGCTATCTAAAAGGTTTTTGGCTGCTCCACGGGTATCACCGTTGAGATTTGGATTGTTTTATATAATAAATAGAGACTAAAGAACATCGATGTAAAGACATTCTTTGGTATCAAAGAAATTGACAAAAACTTTGTTTAGTCTCGCCTATCCTTTGCAGTGATTGTTTCTGTGATGCTTTAAATATTTCACGCCAAAATAGTCAATATGGAGATGGCTGGGTGCTACCAACTCTTCGCCAATCTGATGTACCATGGTGGTAACTATACATTTTCAACTTCAAATTGTAACTAATCAATTTTACTTTGGAATGTAACAATTTCAAATTGGGAATAATCAACGATTTTTAAATGCTTATAAATTAGTCATTGTAAAGGTGCTATAATATAAAAATTTAAACATATGTATTGTAGCGTAACCGTCTCCAAGAAGGCGGTGCGGTCTCAGGGGGGTAAGAGTTCGTTGGTAAAAAGGCAGATATGACCAGATGATGCGTTTATTAATGGTATGGTCTTTGACTAAAATATATTATACAAGTTATACACGTGTTCTGCAATCACCCTATACATCCAAATAAGTTTTATATTAAAATAAAGACTTACCTAAAAAATATGAGCAGTCACGTCTATTTATTACCCAAATGCAATATTAAAAATATTACTGGTTTAAACAGTGTTCAAAAGTCTCACACCTCGTGGCTATATATGTCGAACTTGACCAAAAAAACAGGAAATCTGGGGTGCGCAAAACAGTCGCGAAATCGCGGCAAAAGTTTAAAAAGGCCAGTTAGGCAACCGCGATTACTTATTGGCACAACTGGTTGTCTACCTCTGGGCGCATGATAATAATCCTGCTTCAGTATAGTAGAGTGGGCCAAAAAAATCGACAAAATTTTTTTTGTAAAGTATTTTGAAAATATTGTTTGGGGTGACAAAAACAAATTATGATGAAAGTTTGAGTCCATAATATTAATATTAAGACGTCTATCATCGCAATTAATTTTAGATTTTTTTTTCCTGAGCGAGTTTTTGTCTCAGGACTCCCAAATCATTGAGTTTAACAAAATTGACTTAGGAATATTTTTTGAACAAAATTGAATTCTCTACAAAATAGGTTTGATTGGAATTTCCCGTCAGATGAACCGTTTTCTTAGAATCATGCCTTAAAAGTTGGTATAGTTTTACTATGATCTTTTAACTTGGGAATTTTGTAATTCATGTAAAAATCAGTACCCATAAAAAACAATAAATATTCTTATGTAAAATCAAATCCTTAACAAAAAAAGCCTCTCAACATTTTTGGCTAAATTCACTCAATCAAAAGTTATTCAAGGTTAAAATTTCGTTTTGACTTCAAATTTAACCTTGAATAACTTTTGATGGAGTGAATTTAGCCAAAAATGATAAAAGACTTTTTTTGTAGAGCATTTGATTTCCCATAAGAATATTTATAGTTTTTTTTTCAGGGTACTGATTTTTACATGAATTACAAAATTTCAAAGTTAAAAGATCAAAAACTATACCAACTTTTAAGGCATGATTGTAAGAAAACGGTTTATCTGACGGGAAATTCCAATCCAACCTTGTTTGTAGAGAATTCAATTTTGTTCAAAAAATATTCCTAAGTCAATTTTGTTAAACTCAATGATTTGGGAGTTCTAAGACAAAAACTCGCTCAGGAAAAAAAAATCTAAAATTGCGATGATAGACCTCTTAATATTAATATTATGGACTCAAACTTTCACCATAATTTGTTTTTGTCACCCCAAACAATATTTTCAATATACTTTACAAAAAAAAATAGCCGATTTTTTTGGCCCAGTCTAATGTATAGTTATCATCAAGGTTATCGATACATTTAGGTAATCTGTAATTTATAATGTTAAAATAATTAAAATTATGAATTCTAATTCTAATATTAATGTTAATTTGTAGAAAATAATTAAAAATGATTAAATTTAAGTTTAATAATTAACGCTAAACAGTATTTGCGTGTAAAATATAAAATTAAATAAAACATTTTCTTTACTTTCACTATGAAAAACTGCTTCTATATCTGATTTAAACGGTCCATTTTTAAGGGATTTACACATAAAAATTTGCAATTCTTACCAGCGCGCTGCAGCGTGCCGGTAATACAGATTCCCAAGAATGGTTACTACATTGTTTTATAGATGACGCTCTATACAAATATTTAATTTAAATAATTTTTAAATAATAATAAATATTGGTCGTACAAAAACAATAGTATATATGCAACTCGTTTATAAACTTTTCTAGACACTCATTTAATTAAGCATTCGCTCGCAAGCTCGCTTGTACCTGAATTAAATTCGTAACTAAAATGGCCTTTATCAAACTTGATTTTTAATATACCATTAAATATTGTTTTAATCATAAAAAACACATAATTTAAATGCATAGAAATTTATTACATAAATTATAATTATAACCAGCCTTTCTTAGCAAGTAGTTTAACTACATTGTATAATTTTACTTTTTGTGCATTGGACGCTTCCATTGGTGGAGCAGTTTCAGGATCGAACTCCGTCAAATCCATCGCTTTGGATTTGTCCATAAAAATAGGATATAGCATGCATACTGTATGATGTAGTTGGCGTGGATATGCATTCTTAATCTCTTGTTCAAAGGCTTCTTCTGAGAAAGGTTCCGTGTTCACGTCGAGCTTTTTAAGGGCAGCTAAAAAGTGCTCGTAGTAAAATTGAATTAGATAATCGAATTTTTCTATGAGAATATCATTTTCTATACTTGTTAGAAGAATGAAGAGCACATCGTCGGCTGGAGATAGGAAACGAGTGACTTGGAAGTCAACAAATTTATTTTCGATGAATTTTCCGTTTTCTTCTTTTAACATTAAGTTGTTCACCCAGAGATCCTGATGAACTATGGTGGCGAATGGTTCTTTGGCTGTTTGATCAAATTTTTTTTCGATTATGTTGAGAAAAGCAGGTACATATTTTTTTAATTCATGGTTCTCGCTTATAGCTTCCTTGGATATTCTGATTGTGTCCTCCAAGAACGTATCTTTCTCTCCTCCAGCGGTTTCTCCATAAATCATCAGGTTTAAAAAGGGTTTTACTTTTTTATTGAAGTCATCGGGGCACTGCAACTTTAAAGCGATACCGGTGGCATGGAAGTTTGCTAAATCTTGCAAAATTAGCTTTATGGTTTCAAAATTAAAACCTTTTATTCTATCGGCGCATTTAAACCCTTTCACTGCAATATTTTCAAGCAATAAAACAGCATTTGAATCTACTACATCAGTGTTTTGTAGGTTTAATCTTTCACCTAACAATTTAGCATGATATTCCAGCGGTTTCATTCCATGTTTCTTTTGCAATTCTTGCATCAAAGGGAATATCGTTTTATAGAACTCGATTTCAGCCTTAAATGTTACTTTCGTTTGAAAAATTTGCTGCATGAATTCGTTTTGTGGTGGAGTTTTTGCAACTGCATATATAATCTCCTCTTTATCAAATTTCTTATTCTTGCACTTGATTTCAACACTTAACATCACACTTCCATAATTTTCTCCCGGCCCTGTTAAACTCTTGGCACTGTAGCTAACGAATTCAAGGTCTTCGTCTAGGCGACCTTTGAGCAGATCGGCTAAATTTTCGATTTTGTACATATTGTACGCTTATTTAAGTTTAGTACGTAACTTGAATGCGTTGTAATTAGTGTATGATAAAATAATCTAGTTGCAATAAATTGCAAGTATTATTTATACACAGATAATTAATGTTGGGAGGTTTTAAACAACTTAGTTATTAGATACTGCACGGTTCTTAAAAATAAATTTTTGACTGGATAGATAAATACCTATATTTTAAGTCGGTAAGAAAATAAAAAAAATTAATTATGTTGCAACAGATAATTTTTATGAAAACTAACTGGTAAATTTCAAGAAATGCCTCCTGGTCCAAAATTTTTGTAACTTCTTAAATGTATATACTTTGAACTATAATGGGCCTCAAAAATTTATTCATGTGTGTATATTTGGAATTCCATTTAGATTTTTCTCGGATGAACATGGTTAAAGATTTCACATAGGTACATCAATATTATCAATTGGAATCGACTACTATCAAAAATTGTATATTTGTGTAAATATATATTACATATTTAAATATATATTACATATTTAAAAATTTAAGATTGTTTTTAATATAAATAATTAAAAAAGTTCACAAAATAGAATGTTTCGTTGCAGATTACAAATCTAAAAAAACAATACAAAATTTTAGATATTAGAATGAGCCCCTCAATTATAAAACATTAAAATAGTATAATTTTTCAAAATTTGTATTTATCAATTCCGCAATAATTTTTTTTTACTACCGTGCGCCAATAATTTTATATGACCTTCACGTTTGTTATTTAGAATTTACCACAAAACACACAGAATTTACAATACAATGTTCAATTTAATGGGTGTATAATTTATATACAGGATGATGTATTATTTGCACAAATATCTTTGTGCTACTGGGGTAGTTTTTAAGTTTATATTTATCTATAGATACGGCAGTTAGTTTAAGTTGTATTAATTTTATTTAACAGGGTAATGTCGGTTGTGTATATTGTATAAGTAATTGTTAAAATTATCAAATTTCTGGCATTTGTTTTACATAATGTACTTTTAAAATCATTGTTATTAAACAAAAAAATTGTTTATACTTTGATACTTTTTATTACAAGTTACGTTTTTTATAATTTAATTTTTGGAAAGCCTAATATAAATATTGCATTAATATGGTTAATCTACAAATAATGTATGTTCTTATCAAGAAAGTAAATATTCACACTCTCCATGCGTTATCTAAAATAAAATCAAATAATTAATAATGAATTTACATGATTAAAAAATATAATTATCTTTTATTATTCTTTTAAAATATTTGGCGCCATTTATATGTTTATAATTTTATTATGAGCATCGAATTAAATGCTATTATTTTGATGAAAACTTAAGAATCACGATCACGATCATCTTTGATCTTTATAATAATAATAATATTATTAAACAGTTTTATTTATAGTCAAGTACCCACAAAATAAACTAAAATATTTCAAATCTATTTTTAATAATTTAAAGACAATAAAAAGGAATCTGGAAGGCAGTTTTAAACTGATTTTAAAATTTTATCAAACCAGGATTGCACCACTCGAGCCCGATAAATGGGGGCATTATCTTGGAGAAAAAATGTCTGCGGGACTTCCTCACGTGGATATATAATCCGGACCGAAGGTCGAAGACATGTCTCTAAAACATCCCGATACTTTTCTCCAGTTTTTCTTTCTGGAAGTATGACAAGTTCCCCGGGATCATCGGCGTTCATCCACCAGATTCTTGTTTTTAATGTGTGGCCTTGATCGTATCGGGTGCCATTGCTTCTCCACAAGTGAACTCTTCCAATCTGCGACGATCAAAGCTATTTTTCTGGCAGGAATTCGGTGGTGGATACCAGCTCTGCGAATGGTATTTCTAATGGTCTGCACTGAGCAATCATACTTTTAAGCCATGGTCCTGGTAAATCTGAATGGGAACTCTTCAATTTCCTCTAAAAGATTGACTATGATCGATGTTTCCATTGTTGTGATATCTAAAGGGTGTATCAATAAGAGCGCAAGATTTCAAAGTTTAATAAAACATGGTTTTAAGTATTAAAGCATTGAAATATTTATTGATTTATAAAGTACACATTTGGAAATTATGTATAAAATAACACATCTGGTAAATGGCCACCACGGCTTAACTGGCACATGCGTATTCTTTTGGCAAAATTTGCAATAACATTATTGAATACATGTGGCGGTATTTCGTTGATAGAGCGTCTAATTTTTGCTTTTAAGGCTTCGATGGTGGCGGGCTTGTTGGCATAAACTTGAGACTTCAAATAACCCCACAGCCAAAAGTCCAAGTGTGTTAAATAGTGGTGAAAATGGGCCTCATCACTGAAAATGATTTTGTCCGCAAAATCGGCATTCACTTATTGCTGCTTAAGGATCCAATTGGTGAACTCTCTTCGCTGTTCATGGTCTTTTGGCTGGAGTTGTTGAGTCAATTGGACTTTGTAGGCATGAAGATGTAAATCTATAGTAAGAATTCGCTGAATAGTGGCCTTTGTAATGTCCAATTCTTGGGCACGATGGCGAATCGACGTCTCTGGACTCTCGACCACACTCTCGCGAACTGCTGCGATATTTTGTTCTGAACGACCTCTACGAGCTCGTGTCCTGTGTGTTTACATCACTAACCGAAGCAGTGCTTTCGAATTTTTTGATTATTCTTTTCACAGTAGATGAATTAGGAACATTATTTCGAACAAATATTGGACGCCCTTTACAAATCGTGGCAATCAAACTTTCATCATTTTGATAATAGTGTTTAACAATCAGGACGGATTGTTCTATCGTGTAATGCTCCATATTTACTAACTTCCATCTGTCTCCTATCAATCTGTCATGTCATTAATCATGTGACATCATGGTGGCCAAACTGAGGCGAAATTCAAATCTTGCGCTCTTATTGATACACCCTTTATTTATCCACAATCTCACAGTTTTCCTCTATAATTAAATTTTAATAAAATACCCTATAGAAATAAAGTGTTCATAAAAAAATTACGCTGATATGCATATTTTCTGCAATTAGTAATAGTAATAGAAAAGTCCCTGCTCTTAAGCATACGAATTTCGTTTTTTTGTTGTGTTGATAATTTCTGCATATTAAAGGTTTTTACAAAACTCGTTAATACTATAATACCTAATAATGGTGTTATATATTTGGGCATTATGGGATTAACAAAACAAAATATATACCTTAACGAATTTAAATTATATACCTACGTTTAAAGTAGTAAAATTATAAAATAAAACATAATACCCTTGTAAAAGTCCAGTTTTATTTTAATAATACATCAAAATTCTGGAGAGAATGGTAAAAAGTTATATAATTTTATAATAAATACTATAAATAAAAAGTAAAAGGGGCGTGATCACACGTGGCCAGCAAAATTTCTTTAAATCGAAATAAAACCACTAGTGGATAGACAATAAGTACACCGAGGCATGACCATCCAAATCGTTTTAAGCTATATTGGACCGCTAGTGGAAAGATAATAATAAGCCCAAAAGTACTATGCCCTTCGATTTTTTAAACTAATAGTAAAAAAGTTTCAAAAATCTCTGTTTACGTATCATTGAAGTTAATTGGAATACCACCAATTTGGAATATTCCAAGCACATTTTTTTATTAAAAAGGTAAATAAAGCATTCTTAAAAAGGTAACCAAATATTTATAACAAGAGAAATATATTTACAGTAGTCAGCCACATATTCCGGCACAATCATAGTGCACCCATGCATGGGCATAGTTCACATGTGATACATTCTGTCCCGAGTTCTTCTGAGAAATTCGAATTACGAAGATTTTGTTTTCCCATTTTGTTCTCTTTTTTTAACTTACTTAATAGTCTTATTCCAAGTTAATTTTACTACCTTATTTGGTGTTTTTTCTTTGCTGTTTCCCCAAGTTTTCTTTGGTATGGAGAACTAAAAAGAATTGTTCATTTTCGACCTCTATTATATTTCGCTTCTAATTGTTGTATTTCCAATTCTGTTGGAACACTTTTTAAAGATGGACCCGGTATCTCTTATTCTGTTGATTGTTTTACTTTGGTTTCTGTTTCATTGCGTAATTTAAGGTCACCTTTGTTTACTGAAAAGGTTCATCGGCGGATATTAGATCACTTTGGTTTAAATGTTGACGGTGTCGTTTTGTAATTGCAAGATAATCTGCCTCACTAAAGGCATGCCTGTCAAAAGTGTAGATACCTCCTATTTTAAAACTGTTGGCTGCTATTTCGACTAGCGGATGGCGACAGTCGGTCATTATTAAGTTGACAGTGTTGCCGGTTTAATCAAAGAAGAAACGTCAAGTTAAAACTAACCTACAAAACGACAAAATGGTAAATAATTCAATCAAATCATAAAAGTATTATTTGTACTAAAAATTTGTTATTTACGTTAGAAATAATTCAAAAATCGTTGAGTAATTAATTTTATTTTATTATAGGTTAATATACCAAACTAACCCAAACTTAACGACCCAAAATAACCGGAAAATGTTGAAGTGGAATTTTAAACCATAGTCACTGAGAATTACTTACACTGAGAGAAAAAATGTTGTAGAATCATTCAAAACGATAATAATTCAAAGGGATTCAAATATGTTTTGGCGTCATTGGTGTTTCTCATTAAATTAAAAGGTGTATAACAATTGTATAATACATATATTTTTAAAATAACGTTGAGAAAGGCAATGAAATAAATAGATTTCTTTTTGTATATATATTTTAAAGAGAGTACACTTTAAAAGTGTTTAAAAACATTGTAAAACTGTTGGTAAATGAATATAAAACTACATTTTTTTCTATTTGAATCAAATTTACCCGATTATTTAAATTAATATCATTTCATATGCTTTTTATGACATGATATTTCTCTGAGTGTAGGCAAGTTTACTTTAAAGCTGTGACTAGAGGCACGCTAACGTGCCGCCATTCGAAATGTTAAAGGCACGTTAGTTAAGATTTTATGTTACGATAAAACTAAAACAATCCAACCAAACCAAACAACCAAACCCAACCCAACACTTTTTAACAAAGGAACAACAAATTTATGAAATAAAAAAATAAAAAAGTTCGACAACTTCTAGTTGATTTTATGTTACGATAAAACTAAAACAAACCAACCAACTCAACCCCACACTTTTTAACAAAGAAACAGCAAATTTATGAAATAAAAAAATAAAAAACGCTCGACAACTTCTGAGTATCGCCCTACCATCTGAGCCACAGACCTGTGGTGTGTGATCTGTGATCTGAGCTATCTAGCTTGACGTCAATTTTATAACGCTAGGGGAACTAAAACGGATTATTATTATGACGTAACTAACGTGCTTTTAACATTAACAAGTAAGCATGCCTCTAGTCACAGCGTTTTTAAAAAGTATTAGTAGTTTTGATTTACTTTATAAATTTTAAATTGAACTTACGGCTATTATATTATATATTATATAATATAAATATATGTCCACGGATGGACTTAACTATACTTGTAAACATATTTATTTTCAAATTTTCGATGAAAAGTCATTTTTCCCAATTCCTTTTGCTTGTTATAAAGTCAATTCGCGTTGAAAAACATCCATTTTGTTGTACATGGTGATCAAAAATACTGATTTTCAAAATTAAAAATTTTGAAGGGCTAATATAAAGAGATAGTAAAGAGAAATCAAAAAGTCAAATGAAGTTTTTTCATATGAGTTTTTGATACTAAGATATTTGATATTGAAAATTTAAGATATTAGTTTTCAAATTTTAACAAATAATTGTAGACATGCCAGTTGAAAGCAACAACCTTGAGTCATAATCTAAAAATGAGATAGCAGTCAATTTCTACAAAATAATAGGTCCACTCAAGTTGTGAATGGTATTTATATAACAAGCAGAAGAAATTATGAGGAGTGACTTTTCTTTGAAAAATTAAAAATTAATATTTTTACAAGTATAGTCAATCCGTAAACACACTGTATTTAGTTTATATAGTCCGTTTAAGGTTATCGATATCGATATACTTTATCTGTAGTTCATAATGTTAAAATAATTAAAATTATAAATTCTTTGTTTTATAAGGCATGTATATAAATAAATATGTAGGTATAGCTTTTTAATTTGTACAAAATAATTAAATATAATTAAATTTAAAAATTCCAAGCTAAAAATATAAACCTAAAATTATTGGTTAATATTTAAATTTAATTTATTTAATAGTATAATTTAAATTTTAATAGATAAGAACAAATAAATATTTTTTTCATTTTTATATCTATGCACTTAAAAATAATTGTTGCACACGGTGCATTTGATAAAAAACACTGAAGCATCTGATATGGGTTAACCGGTTAAGCGCTTTAAAAACAAATTTGTCGATTCAGTATTATTTTATAATACAAACAGAACGCGTGCTTTTAATTCCAACAAGCGTTCAAAATGTACGAAATAGAAAACCTATCCGATCTGCTCAAAGGTCAGTTGGACGAAGAACTTGAATATGTAGACTACAGTGCGAAGAGTTTAACAGGACCGGGAGAGAATTTTGGAAGTGTAATGTTAAGTGTGGAGATCAAGTGCAAAAATAAAAAAACTAATAATGAGGAGACCATTTATGCTGTGGCAAAGACACCACCACCTAGCGAATTTATGCAGAAAATTTTTAAAACCGATTTAACATTTAAGCCCGAAATTGAGTTCTATAGAACGGTATTTCCATTGTTGCAAGAATTTCAGAAAAAGCATGGCATGAAACCGCTGCAATACCATGCGAAGTTCTTAGGCGGAAGATTGAATTTAAAAAACACTGATACTATGGATTCAAATGCTGTTTTATTAATAGAAAACATTGCCGTTAAAGGGTTTAAATGTGCTGATAGATTAAAAGGTTTTGATTTGGAAACAATAAAGCTCATTCTACAAGATTTAGCCAACCTCCATGCCACTGGTATCGCCCTAAAACTTCAGTGCCCTGATGAATTTAACAAAAAAGTGAAACCTTACGTAAACATCATGATTTTTGGAGATGATGCCGGCTCTGAAAACTTCGTAGAGGATAACATTAAAGCTACAAGAGATATCCTAGGCGCCAACGAAGAAGTAAAACCATTTTTACATGCTGTCATTGAGTTGCTAAGGAAAAAATGTGATAATTCTCCCAAAGAACCATTCGCCACGATAGTCCATCAAGATCTCTGGGTGAACAACCTGATGCTAAAAGAAGAAAATGGAAAATTCATAGAAAATAAATTCGTTGACTTCCAAATGTGTCGCTACGTATCTCCAGCCGACGATTTATTCTTCCTTCTATTAACCAGCGTCCAAAACGACATTATTTTGGAAAAATGGGACTTTTTAGTGCAATTTTATCATGAGCAGTTTATAGACAATCTTAAAAAATTTGACGTAAACACGGAACCATTCTCCAGAGAAGCCTTTGATCAAGAAATTAAGGATTCGTATCAACGCCAATATGTTCACGCATCCTGTATGTTGTTTCCACTTTTAATGGATAAGTCCAAGGCAAAACCTATAGGTAAGGACTTTGACCCTAAAAATGAACCACCGATGGAACCATCTGAAGCCCATAAGAAAAAGTTATGCACTATTGTTAAATTGTATAATAAAAATGGTTGGTTGTAATAAGTATTTATAAACAAAATTTTTATAATTGTAATAATAATATGTTTATTGCCAATAAGATCATACATTTATAAATAGTTTAATTTTATGTTATTTATTTTCCTAACTTACAATAAAACAAAATAAATTAAATTAATTAAACCAAGTCGTATTTAAAAGATAAAACAATATTTAATTTCAATTTAACTTTATCACTCTTTGGATTTCTGCAAGTAAGCCTTGGGCCTATCGTAGCCTTACCCTGTCAGCTCATACTATTTGAAAATAAAAAATGTAAAGCTACGTCCACACCGAAGGCAGCACATATTAATAATGTCCAAGCAAAAAACGAGAGATCGAATATTATGAATTTTAAATGCCTTCGGGGCATAAACCAAATTCTAAAAATAAAATGAACCTAAAATGCAAGAAACTAAAAGCATGCAGAAAATTAAATCAAATATCGAGCGTTAAGCCGGACAAGATTTTAGTGTCAATAGCAAAAAATTTCAATCCCAGAATAAAAATTTATAAAACTAATAACACTGAAATAAAAAATGACAACTACGTAAAAATATAAAATAGTATTAATTAATAACTGACATAATAAATATCAAATTCGTTTTAGTTATTAATTTTATTAAATAGCTATAGCTGAAGTGTCGCCACAACTTTTAGAAAAGATTTTAAAAATGTATTATGTTGAATGGAAAAGATGTAAAGTTTTGGAGTCATTAAATGTTGTTCGGTATTATAAATGTTCCCAATATCGTCTTATAGAGAAATATTGCAAAAAAAACAGAGCCTGTATGTCTAATAAGCGCTTTAAATCAATGAATAAAAGACTGTAAAAGTGAGGTTAAATCCGGGTGAAAGTTGACAGGTGTCAAATGTGTAACAAATAAAATTTGCACAAATTCTAAAAAAGTTACATGTTTTACTTAGATCTAACTCAATTGATTTAAAACTATTTACACTGGTCAGTGTTAAGTTTAGCAAAGAAAATGTATTATGATAAAAAATAAAACTCTAATAACAAAACTAAATTTGTTTGGAACTTCCTAAAGTTACTCAAAGTATGAAACGTGATATTATCACCCATAATATAACAAGTGGTATGATTATCATCGATGATATTTTCGAATTGAAACCGAGCTGCAGATTTCACGAGTCCGCAGGACGAGTGAAATGTGCTGCTTCGGTTTCAATGAGTAAATATCATCGATAATTAATTATACCACGAGTTATATTTAGTGAAAAAATATAATGAATTTTAGGATTTAACGAATTGTCAGTTTGACATTTAAAATTAAAATGTGCTTTAAATATATAAAAAGGCTTTAATAAACCTTATTTATTCAAACTTACCTTAATTTTATTATCGTTTACACCAACCCATCGATCTTTTAGAGTTTATAATTCACTATTTTAATCATTTAACAAACACAGTATTTAAATGTAAACAAATGTCAAATCAAGAAAAGGGTCAAAATCCTTAGCAACGTGTAAACAAGGTGATAAAAAATATTGTCGCTGTGATAAAATGCGTAACTATGGAATACTGGCATTTTATTGGTTCTAATTATAATGAATTGTATTGTCATAAATTAAAATGAAATTTGAATAGCAATCAATGATCAATTCATTAATATTCCTAAAAAAATTATTTATTGACAATCAAAAAAATAATAAAAAATGTAAAAATACCCTACACAAATTATACTATTTATTTATCTGATGTTACACAGAATGAAATATACAGTATTGTGCATATATGCATTATAGTCTAAAAAACTCGCATTCCACTGATAACGAAAACTTATCAACAAAAACACTGTTATTTATATTTCATTAAACCTCTTTGTTATTTAATAAACTTATTCCTAAATAAATCAATTTTTCGTGATTGTTTAAAAATGTCAAAAGTTATGTATATATAGAAAATAATTCTTTTCAAAATAACCGTTTCAAATATTTTTTTAAATACAAGGAATAGCGAAAATGCTCTAAAATTAGTAATGTTTTTTCATTCCCTTTTTTAAATATATTATTTTTATTGAAAAAAGGCAATAAATAAGACATTACTAATTTAGACCAATTTCATAATTCAATTTATAAAATATTTAATAAGGTTATTTTAAAAAGAATTCTTTTCTTTTTTAAAATCTAATATTATATTATCCCAATCCCAATATTGCTTTACAGAAAAACGTTCAACCACGATAGCGTTATGCAGTTTTTTTACTTTGCATGCTGTTTAAATAAAAACATTATTTTGTGTCGAATGATGTGAAAATTGTATGGTAGTTTCGTTTTAAATAAGAAAGTTATTGGTATTTAAAGTGACAAAAAAGTCAACGTAAATACCACACCCTGTATAAAATTTTCAAATACTATTAATGACTTTCGATAGAGTGCTCCTTAGTTAACAGGTACACCAAAAATTAACTTTTTTACATTACAATTAGTGGTAATATAGACATATTAGTAAGACCATCCATCTGTCAAAATTTTTGAAAAAAAATAGTTAAAAACCTAAAAAAAATATTTTAATTTTAGTATTTCTAGAATTTTACGTAAAATTTAAAAATGCAATAAAATTTATATAATTCCATTTGAAAAACCGATATCACTTTAAGATGAAGTGATAACGCATGGAAAATAATTTAAAAAAATAGTTTACATTGCCTTTTAATTTCTTTACAATTTTCAAATCGATATCTTTTTCCGTTCTCCATAAACTTCCAATGAATAAGTTGGGTGAATCACCCTGTATATGATGTAGCTATTTAAAGCGGAAATATAGATAAGATTCATGAATAACCGAAAAGGCCAACGGACAGTTCGTCGAGAGCATGTATATTCACGTATCATTTTGTCAGCGTTATCAACAGCTCCTTTTGTAGCATTATAATCCACATTGTGCATTGCACATGCCTCTATCATTATAAACATCCAATGTTCATACTTCATAGCTAAATTGGCGAACATTAAAATAACATGTTTTATTAATAAATTAAGGAGCTAAGACTTAGCGCAACATCAGTGTCTACTAACAAAATTAAATAAATAGTAATATCGCAAAATACACAACGCAATAAATTTGTTTTAAATCCTAGGACCAACCATACATGGCTCAGAATTTGCAAGTCTCAACATATTAAATAATAAATGATACATTGCATTACAATATAATATGTTAAAGTAAAACGTAAATATTGAAAATGGTAAACATGAAATAATGATAATAATAAATAGGTAATTAAGTTTGTCCAACCACTACAAAAACATACAAAGTTTAGCTTATTTCTTCTTTCACAAAGAAAAGAGTTTAATTAATTAATTAACCACTTATTATGATATTTGTGACTTTAAATTATTATAATTTAATATATAAAAGACATACCTATTCCAAAAAATAACACTTTCAAAAACCTAAGCAGTGCATATCCGGAGGTACCGCGTTGTGGCATTTTTGTTCAGTTAGATTTTAATTACGGTGAATCCATAAAGGGACTTTCTTATTTTTTGGTAAGTATTATACTTCCTTTTTATTTAAGCCTTAATACTCAATAAATACCAATATGTTAAAAGGATGTCCATACCCGACCTATATTATATATTAATAATTTACGGGTTGGGTACTTGTAACATTAATAATATAAATACATACACACTTGATTTACTTTTTATTTTCAAGCGTAATGGTTGTTATATTAACCTATATCTACATTTTTATTAATATTATGGAAAATTTGTACAGATGTGGTAAATCCCCGACATACAGCCGCCTGACGCCTCTCTATCAATGGCATCACCCATTTTTTATAACAGAAAAATGGATTACTGATGAATTCTCAAGAAAATTTATTGCTTAGAAGTTGACAGCCAGTAAAACATTGCATTGATCTAAAACTTTTACGTTTTAAGGAACCATTTTGCTTAAGCCAGCCATACGACTCAAATATAAAATTATATTTTAAAAGGCACCGATTTTGATAATTGTCATAGATTTTTGTTCCAAATAGATGTTTCTCTTTATTTACCTTTTCGTTTTATTCACTACCACCAATAGGTTTTACTCAAATAATAGTGTTAATTTATATTGAACAAAAGTGGGATTTTACCAAGGATGTGTAGAAGTACACGATTTTAGATAAATTAAAACTTTTTAATACAGTGTAAAATTACTTTATCCTCAGTGCTATAGTGTTAAATCATATTTGCTTACTTGGGGAAAATTACACTACAAATTAACTCGAATTGTAGTGTTATAAAACAACACTATTTAGTGTGGACCTGTGTCACTGTGTCACAGGCTGTGTGAACTCTAATTAGTGTTGCTTAGAGTTGATTTTTTTTACTGTGCATATATCGTGCCCATTACATTTTATCCATGCAGTGCACATTACCTATGGAGTCCTTTAATTAAACTTAATAATAAAAATATTGCCCAAGTGTCAAGTTTTAAATTGCTGGGAGTTTATGTCGATCTTTCTTTAAATTGGAAAGTTCATATCTTTGCAAAAAACTTTCAAGCAATTGCTATGTACTCAAAAGACAATGTTATATCTAGCAAGTTTTTAGTCCTAACTTTAGGACTTTTTACTTCTCAAATTTTGAATCACTGGTGGGGATATTTAACAGATGTTAACAGAGTTTTTTTTAATGCAAAAACTTATACTTTTGTATATGTTTGGTTTAAGATTTAATTAATCTTGTAAATGTACTTTTATTAATAAATGAATTTTAACTGTGCCCTATATGAGATCTTAAAATTTGTAAATAATATTATTTATAAATTTAAATATCTAAACTGTAATCATAACTATATAACAAGGTATGGTTTTAATTTGCCACTTGATCATCATATAATGAGTTTGTTTAAATCAAATCCGTTTTATATGGGTTTAATATTGTTCAACATATTACCCACTGAATGGAAAGCTTTACCGTTAAAAGTTTTTGTAGCTGTATAAATGCATTCTTAACAACAAATGCATTTAATTCCGTAAGTTTTTAATTTATATATTTTTTTGTTAACCAATTTAATAT